TCCAACACACATCTATCAGGTGTTCCAGAAGGAAACAGCAGAGCAAACGGAGAACAGGCAGTAGTCCAAGAGAATAAAAGAGAATTTTCCAGAACTAATGAAAGCTAGAATCCTTAGCAGGTTAAAGAATACCGCATTCTCTACCAGATACAACAATGCCAAATAGTAAGGGAAGATTTTAGAAGCATTTGTAGGGGGCGCCTGGGTGGCTCAGTTGGTTAAGCCACTGCCTTCGGCTCAGGTCATGATCCTGGAGTCCCGGGATCGGATCCCGCATCGGGTCCCGCTTCGGGCTCCCTGCTCGGCGGGGAGTCTGCTTCTCCCTCTGACCCTCTCCCCTCTCATGCTCTCTCTCTATCTCATTCTCTCTCTCAAATAAATAAATAAAATCTTTAAAAAAAAAAAAAGAAGCATTTGTAGGTAAAAGACCCATTGCCTACAAAGAAATGAGTATCAGATTGTCCAGAACTTTGCAACACCAACAACAGAAGCCAGAGGACAATGGCATAATATATTCAAAGCTCTAGGAGAAAATAACAATCCCCTTACATTACAACTGAATTATCATTTAAGAATATGGGCAAAAGAAATATTTTCAGACAAACGAAAATGAAGAGTGTTTACTGCTAATAGGTTTTTGCTGCAAGAATTACTCAAGAATATACTTCAGAAGAAAATGACCCTAAAAAGCAACAGTGAGACTTATGATATCAGATAGATTTGAACAAATATTTAATATATAAAAAAGACTAACTGGGGAGTAGTGAAACAGGGCAGAATGAAGGTACTGGTCACACCAGTATTCAAGATGGGCAGGGAATGGGCAGAGGTCAGGTATTTAGACATTCTGGGGAGAAGTGGGGCAATTTGGTTAACTTTATTAAATCAACTATGCTTATTAAAATTATGTAAAGGTAATCATATCAGATGAGAAATTATATGTACAACTCTTTTTTTTTTTTTTTTCAGAGTGTGGCCTTGTGCGAGTAGGGGGGAGGGGGAGAATCTTAGCCTGGGGCTCGATCTCCTGACCCTGAGATTACCACCTGAGCTGAAAGCCAGAGTCAGACGCTTGACCCACCAAGCCACCCAGGCACCGCTCTATCTTTCAAATAAGTAGAAAGAACACCATTGAATACAAAGAAATTGGTCAATATTAAACAGATGCAAGACAGAAAAAAAAAAAAGAATCAGATGGAAAGCAGGTTAAGATACAACATGAAATCAGATGACTGAACTAGATTCAATATAGCAGAATTCAGACAAATGTAAAATTAAACTCTGAATTAGAAAGACAGATTGTCAGTTGTATTGGATTAGAAAAATTTAACTATATGCTTAAAAAAAGACATTTAGAACTTAAAGGCAAAGAAATCGTGAATTCAAAAGTATAAAAAATAAATAAAAGTATAAAAAAATACTGGCACGATACTAGCCCAAAGAAAGTGGTGTGGTTGTAATAAGAGTGGACAAAATTCTTTGAAGCATAAAAGGAATATTAGGGGGGAAAAAGTCAGAAAATAAAGATAAAAAGGAACAATTCACTGGGAAGAAATAATGATAACTTGCTGTCACCTAAAACGTAGAATCAAGTTATAGGAGGCAAAAAAAATTGATAAAATTTCAAAGATAAATGGACAATATCATAGTCACAGGGGAATTTTAACACAGTGTAATTGGTAGTTTAAGATGACAAAAAGTTAGGTCAGATATAGACCCATCATACAATGAGCAAGCTTGATTAAAGAGACCCACGTGGGGGCATCTGGGTGGCGCAGTCAGTTAAGCATGGAACTTTTGATCTCAGCTCAAGTCTTGATCTCAGAGCGATGAGTTCAAACCCCGTGCTGAGCTCTACACTGGGCATGGAGCCTACTTTAAAAAAAATAAAAAGAGACACCCATGTGGAGAATGCACATTCTTTCCAAGAAGACATGACACATTTACTAAAAGCCCACATATTAGGCCATAACAATTTCTTATGAACCTGCAAAGAATGATACAGACCACATTCTCAAGTACCCTCAACTGCTGGAGATCAGTAGTAACAATTAAATCCAACCTACATATTTGAGATTTTGGGAGGAAAAAATCCTCTAAATAATTCATGACTATTAACATGTCATGATGGAGAATCTAAGAATGGATTGCTCACATTAACCAGAAAGTTCAACAAGTTTGCTGGCTATACCAAAGTAAGTTTTTATTCACTTGTAATGAGCAACTAGAAAAATTTAGTTTAGTTTAGAAAATTTTATCTGAAAATAGCAACCAAAAATATAAAGCTACCTAGGAATAAATCTACCAAAAAAAGTAGAAAACTTTCATGTATGAAATTTTAAAAGTTCTTAAAGACCTAAACAAATGGAACAATAAGCAATATTGATGGATTTGTAGAATCACTTTCTTAAAGATGTTAGTTTTCTGCAATATATAATTTGAATGTGTTCCTTTTAAAAGTCAAAAGAGGTTTTTGAAATTCACAAGTTGATTATAATATATATAAGGTAGAGCAAAGAACCAAGAATTCCAGACAATTATGAAGCGGAAGATCAACATTTGAGGGCTCACTCCTCTCCACCACCATATCAAGACTTAACTCTAGTTTAAGTAATAAGAAAGTGATATTAGTACAGGGAGAGACGGACTAGAGAAACATATATGGAAATTTGTGTATAACAGATGCTATTTCAAATCAATGGGGAAAATAAGGACTTTTAGTAAGCAGCACTGGAAAACTGGTTATCCATATGGAAAACATAAGTTAAATCTCTACACCAAACCAGATTTAAGTGGATTAAAGAACTGCTTACGAAAAAACATGACTTAAAAAGTTTTGGAAGAAAATGAAGAAGGATGTTGTTATGTTCTCAGGGTAGGAAAAGATTTCTTAAACACAGCACCAGAAGCACAAACCATAAATGAAAAGACCCATACATTTGACTACATTAGATTATTTTTTTAAAAAACTCTTTTATACATTAAAGACATCATAAACAGTAAAAAACACAAACCTTTAACTTGGAAAAGATATTTGGCATGCACGTAACCAAGAAAGAATTTGGCCCAGAATTTATAAACAGCTCCAATGGAAAAGGCCAAACAATATGACTGGCAATCCTCAAAGGAGGACACCCAATGGCTTCAAAACGTAAGAAAAGACATTCTTTCCTCCTGTAATCAGTGTCATGTAAATTAAACAAAAAGGATCTGATATTTCACACTCATTAGATTGGTGAAAATGGAAAAAAAAATCTGATGATGCCAAGTCCCGCTGAAGAGAGAATAAATGGGCACGTGTATTTTGGAGGATAAGGTATCAACGTCTAATAAGGTGGTGGGAATGCTTGGCCAGAGGATTTGACCATGTCCAGCTTCAGGCAACATTGTTTGTCACAGTGACAAACTGGAAAAAATCTTAAATGTTCAAGTATGGGGTTTAGCAAGGGACAGATGTTTTATTAAGAATATATTGCATACAGATGTGTTTGATACTTTTATTTTCTGTACGTGTATGCCTAAAAATTTTCTAATTAAAAAATTAGGTTGGCGAGGGTTATGGGCAAAAGGCACTTACACTGTCAATTGCTATAACCTCTTGCAAGGGCAAGGTGGAAGTTTGATAACTATTTATGTTGGCAAGAGTGTTGGGAAACAGGCACCCTCATACGCTGCGGTGAGAACACCTCCGTGGTGGTAATTTTGGCAATATTTAACAAAATTGTAAATTCCTTTTGACTTAGCACAATTTCCTCTAGGTATTCATTCGAAGAAAGTAAGCAATGTTAGAGCAAAGGTTTATCCCCAAGGCAGTTCATCATAGCAATCACAGCACTGTTTGTAATGTGTGTGTTTTTTTAAAAGATTTTATTTATTTATTTGACAGAGAGAAACAGCGAGAGAGGGAGCACAAGCAGGGGGAGTGGGAGAGGGAGAAGCAGGCTCTCCACTGAGCAGGGAGCCCAATGTGGGGCTCCATCCCAGGACCCTGGGATCATGACCTGAGCCGAAGGCAGATACTTAACCAACTGAGCCACCCAGGCGCCCCCGTTTGTAATGTTAATAATAAAGAAGCAACCTACCACCACCAAATAGTAACTATAACATTAGACTGATCATGTCTCGCACCATCTAGTTGGTTCTAATTTATGATGGAACTGCATGATAGAATATTCTGCAGCCACCAACATGATGCTGTTGCAATTTTTTAATCATGTGGAAACTCTTGCAAAATATTAAGGTAAAAGAGAGTAGGCTACAAAATAGTGTGTAGAGTGTCCCATTAAAAATACCTAGCTATGCACGGAAGCTGAGACACCGACATGTCAACAGAAGTCCGGATGACTAGAAGGTGATTTCTATTTTCTTCTGTTGCGTTGTTTTGTTTTGGTCTTTCCCCACAAACTGTGTGCGTGTGTGTTTCGTTTTAATAGGAGAGGCTCTCCTGTGGCTGAGATAATTTCGACAGGCGGGCCTGACAGCCCAAGCCAGAAGGCAGGGAGCCGCGCACTAGACCTGCGGAGTTCCGTGGGAAGCCTAAGGAGTCTCTGGTTACAATAGAACCTGGAGAAGAGTGAGTCCTGGGTTCACCTCTGGCGTCACCACCCCGACGGTGGGCGACTGGGGAAGCTGCGCCACCTCTCTGAATCCGGGTTCCTCTGGGGGACGGGAGGAGCAGACACCCCCCTCTCCCCGCCCCCGGGGAGGGCCTCGCTCCCGCTTGCGGGGAGGGTCAGCGGGGCGCCGTGACGCGCGCCGCGCCGTTTGCAAAAGCCCGAGCGCGCCGCGTCACGCCCGGGTGGCGATCGCCGCGGCCCCGCAGCCGCCGCAGCCGCGCGGACTCGGGGCGCGCGGGGGCGGGCGACGGGGGCGGGGCCGGGGCGGGGGCGCCCCGCGGGTGGCAGGCGCGGGGGAGGGCTCGTCGCCCCAAGCTGCGGCCGCCCGCCGGGGATTTCCCCTGGGCGGCGCCCGGGGAAGTCCCTGTGCGCGCGGCTATAAGAGAGCGGCGCCGCCGAGCGCGCCCCAGGCCGGCGGACCCCAGCCATGTCGCGCGGCTTCCGGCTCCTGCTCCTGAGCTGCGGTAGGGCCCCGGACGCCGAACCCCCCCGCGCCCCCCCCCCCCGCTCCCGGCGATACCCGCCCTCTGCTCGCTGGCTCACGCCGCTCTCTCTGTCCCTTTTGCAGTCTGCAGCCTGGCGCCCGCGACGCGGGAGATGAAGGTGGCTTGTTCCGAGGCTGTGGACTTGCCGTGCACCGTCCACGTGGACCCTCAGGGCCCCTACAAAGTCTTCTGGGCCAAGGTATGCGCGGCGATGCCCGCGGGCTCAGGCTCGGCCGGCTCCGCTGGGGGCAGCGGGGGACCACCTCCCTTGGGCAGGCGACTCTGTGTAGCCCCGGGCGGTCTCCAAGTCGCCGGTCTTCCCGCACGCCTTCCTTTCCCTCCCCCCTCGTCCCCCCCCCCCCCATCTAGGTACCAGGCGATTCGATTCGATTCGATTTTGTTCCCCAAGGACCTAATCCTTTTCCTACCCCTAAAGGTGGCCTGAGATGAACGATCCAAATAAGCCGCTTTGGAAGCGCAGAGACCCTCTTATTTGGTTGAATTCTGGAGGCCACCTGTGGTTGTGACCAGCAGGCCACGAAGAAAGCAGCTAGGGCAGATTTGGGTATCGGAGAGGAGGCCTGTCCCCGGAGTTCTGATTTCTGGTGTCTGGGGACTGTGATGCCCAGAATTTGGGGACAGGGAGGGAAGGAATGGGCACTTTGAGAGCAAGGACTCAGAGATCGTTCGAGATGGTTTCGGCTTGTTTCCCAGGTGGGAGTTGTCTGTCAGCCATCCCCTTGGTGGGTTCCCCTGGCCCCACGCTGGTCGCTGCTGCTTGGCGCTCCGGCAGGCCATCCTGAGAGGCCCAGCATGGGGGGGCGTCTGGGGGGGGCGGCGTCCCTGTAAGAGAAGTGAGTTGCTCTGGGGCGTTTTTTTAAGGATGCCTCTCAACTGGAACCTTTTCAGATGCTAAGACCGCTGTTCTGGCGGCTTTGCCAAGCCAAGCGGTCTCTGGTCTTTTGCTCACCTCCTTTCATGAGGTTACCCACACAGCACCTCTAGTTTCAGCCAAGTGCATGTGATATTCTAGCCTTGCTCTGCAGCATCTGACCTTAGAGGAAATCTCAGAGCGCAGGCTTTTCTTCTGCCCTCCAAAAAAGATGCTTTTAAGAACCTGCGGCGGCATTCAGCAAGGAAGCATGGGACAGTTGTGTGTGTGTGTGTGTGTGTGTGTGTGTGTGTGTGACCAGACTGTCAGTTTGCCTGGACCGTGCTGCACCATTGCTTTTGTGTATTTTGCGCAGCACCCGGTGTCTGCCCTGCTAATTGTGAAAGTGCCCAGTGAATTCAGGCTGGCACTTGGTGAGTTTCGTGCACTGGCTACATTGTTGCGGCCTTGGAGCACTGTCCTGTGTAGCAAAGTAGGTTTGTGATTATTCCCACTTCATTTCTGCTTTATTCACTGTGGGATCAGAGAATGTCGCAATTCCAAAATGGTTCTTGTAGTAAAAACAATAGCACCCAAACAAAAATATTGTAAAAACATGATCGTTTGAGTGCTCACTCTATGCCAGCCTCTGAGGTAAATATTTACCTACGTTATCTGTTTCGGTCCTTCCAATGGACTTAAGAGATCGGTCCTGCTACTGCTGTTCCCATTTTACAGATGAGGAAACAGTCTCAGGGAGGGAAGGAATGCCCGCTCACTGTTACACGGCTGGCTGAATGATGAGGGAGGGATTTGAACTAAGTAGTCTCATTCCACAGCCTGAGTGCTCAGAGGCCTATCTTGATGTCTCTGTTTTCTATCTCAGTTACTTAAGGTAAAGAAAATAAAAGTGTCCTTGGTCTGGCCAGGCAGGGACTTAGTTATCTTAAAGAAGGGGGGGGGCATGAAACCATGATCCCTTCCCAAGACAAATTTAAAAAAGAAAATAATATTAATATTCCCAGGGGAGTAATTAAAAGGTACTCATGAAACAAGTAGATGGGGTTTCAGACTGTAAAGTTCCAACAGTGGTCAAGGTAAATCCTCTTGCACAAAGTCATTTGGAATGAGTAAACCATAGCAATTAACCTTTGGCTTCTCCTTGGATGTCAGCTGATGATGTAACTCTATAATATATGTGCTTGTTTACTGAACACGGTTCTTGCGTGATTTACCCTGAAGGTCTCCCAAAACCCTGTTAAAAAAAAAGACAGCAGTCTCTTGGCATTTTCTTTTTTTCTGTTGGTTCGTGGAATAGGGTCACTGCAAAATCATGCCGTTGTTACTTTTTTAAAAGAGGGAAACGGTGAATCAGGTCCCGGTGGAGAGGCGAGCTTTGTGATGCTGATAAACGATTCGGATCCCTTGAAAACGAAATGCATTGTTCCTTCAAGTGCTTTTTAACAGGTCTCTGCATGTTCTGTAGATATTTATTCTTTCCCAGCCCAGTAATTATACTTTTGTGCTGATTGTGTTTGTACAACAAAAGTGGATAGAGTATTCTGGAAATCAGGTCAGTGGTGAAATACTGAAATACTTGGTTTTACAGAAGATTGAGCAGCTTTTCGTTTTTTCCCCCACACCACTTTCTTGTAAAATGTTTCCGGAGACTGAAGAGGTGGCTATGAAAGAGGACTTTAAACCTGATGGCCACAGCTGGCCTCGCTCATGTCACCTCCCTCATCATCGCTAGTATGGTTTTTCAGACTCTTTGCACAGCTGTGGGCCCTGAGCTGGACAAGGGAAGCCGAGTCGCTTGGAGTGGGTTTGTTGTTGTTGTTTTTTGTTTTGTTTTTACCATCCACCAGATTGATTCACATTCTCATAGGTCTTCTGCATATCACAATTATGGTTATAATGACTCACAATTTAAATTTCTGTGTACCACTCAGTTCACCCCCACCACAGGGCGTCCTGCCACTGTCCAATTGACAGTGATTACTAGTGATTACCAAAGGACCCATATAAACCATGTGTTTCTTATCATGTGCCTTTTACGGGAAGACCCAAAGCAGAGGGCATCCAATTAGTGTTTGTGATTATTAGGGCAAGTGGGGAAGAAGCAGTGTCCATATTATCTTCTGTTTCAAAGGCACAGTGAGAGGGGGCTGGGGGAGGCTTAATACAGACGTGCACAGGGGGTCATAGGGGGAGCCAAGGGTGGGCAGAGATAGCCCAATTCCTGTTAACCCAACTCTTATTTCCCATGGACCAGTGGCCTTCTAACTGGGATCCATCAGTGGGGCCTCCTCTCATCCTTTCCTGCCTGTACCTGTTAAGGCAGGGTGGGTGGTTGAGAAGAAATAGAAATGTGCCTTCACATATCTATTAGAATAGTAGCTAAATTTAGCCTTTAAAGTTGTGAATTGACTGTGGTTGTTTAGGGAGGTATTTTGAAAAAATATGCAAGCAGACTTTGGTCCAGCACTCTCTCCCATTGGCTGCAAGCGTCTTGCATCAGAGGGCATAGCAGCATCCCATGTCTCCCAGGAGTAAGCACATCCATTAAAGGGGTACTCCTGGGTGCCTGGGTGGCTCAGTTGTTTGGCGTCTGCCTTTGGCTCAGGTCATGATCCCAGGGTCCTGGGATCGAGCCCCGCATCGGGCTCCCTGCTCTGCGGGAAGCCTGCTTCTCCCTCTCCCACTCTCCCTGCTTGTGTTCCCTCTCTCGCGCTGTCTCTCTCTGTCAAATAAATAAAGAAAATCTTAAAAAAAAAAAAAAAAGGGCTACTCCTGAGCTTTCTGCTGAGTGTAAGTGGGGTCACAGTCTCTTTAATGAAGCTGCACTAGTTTGGAGGGAGAGGATGATACTGGATGGAGTGTTTGAGCACGGTGGGGTTTGCTACTAATAATAACAAGTGGTTATTTATCAGAGAGATGTACTACCATCTTGTAGCATGCTAGGAGCCCCAATCGCCTATGTTGATGCATAACGAAAGAGGATATACAGTGTCAACCTAGGATGATATTGCGGGGGTGAGGACACGTCACAAGACAAATGCCCTTTTCAGATTTTTTCCAACGGAAGGGAGAAAGGGGAAGTAAGACTGATTTCAGAGGTCAGTCTTGATTTTGGAATAGTGTGAAGAGCCCCCAGCTGTGGCAGATAATGGGCTACCCCCTGGCCCAACAGGGCTGGCAGAGAGCCGGTTAATGGCTTGCAGGAAGCGACTTGCAAAGTTCAAGGATAGTCACCACGCAGATCTTGCTTCTTCTTGATTTGTTATGAAGCTGTCTTCCGTGTATATTGCGAATCTCCTCTTCAGTGTAGTTCTGTTTTCTGTCTCGACTATCGTTGTGTGATGATGCACCACAAAGCAAGAAGCCCTGCGAAAGCAGAATCCCTTAGTAGGCACTGGAGTTGATGAACAGTCTGGGCAGGTGTGATCTGTTCGGCCACAAATGCTGATGGACCTGTGAAGGAGCCAGTGTGTGCCACTCACTAGACTTCCTTGATTCTAGAATTTTATCTGCTGTAAGATAGATTTAAGAACATATATTTAGGAGAGAAAGGAAACATTTCCTATATTAAACAGAGAAGCCCTGAAACATTGAAATGTGAAAACAATGTGTGTGTGTGTTAGCATCAAAGGAAAGTCCTATACTACTTGACCTGGTGGAATCACTTTTATGGGCTTTACATTAGGTCAAACCACGAAGGACATAAAGTTGGTTTTCAGAGGTCTCTTGTATTTACAATTTTTCGTTAGTCAGTATTTCTGAAGTCCCAAATGTGTTCCAAGTCCTGGGCCTCATGCTGGCCATCTTAAAATCAGCAGGGAATTTTGCCGGAGGACCATCTTGAGCAAAGACGTGGAAAAGGAATGCACAAGCATTTTGGGGAACCACTGGGGTGACCAGTGATCTGTGAGGGAGAATTATACAGGAGAGGGTGGGGAGATGTTACAGAGAAGGCTGGGAATAGGTGGTGAGGAACCTTGAACGCCCACCTATAATGGCTTGAACTCCTTTTGGCAGCAAGGAGTCATTGAAAGTTTTTAAGCAAAGAGGATGACCTAATGACACGTATTTGTAAAGAAGAGCATATTTCTTGTGGTGAAAGACCCACTCTGATTCATCCTGGAAGATGAGTCCCAGAGGGAGGCCTTGTTCTTTCACTACAGCAAAATCTAATCAGGTCAACTCAGCCAAGAACTCAGCACATTTCTGAGATTCACCTTCCCTTCTTTCTTGGCCACCTGTCGTGTCCCATGGTTTTACAAACGAGTGGGCAACACAGCACGTGGCTGCCTCAGAGGGGCTCTAGG